GAGAAATGCAATCAAAGACAGATACCGCATTTTATTGGTGTTTGTTTTGGGCTCTACAAGCTAATCTTCAGTTCAAACTGAAACCTGCAGGGGGACAAGAATAACTCACGCATCAACTTCCGCTGCCTTCTTTTTTGGACTTTGGCCCAACGGCCCCCCGGCCCCCCCATCCACCAGGTGGAGATGAGTTGTTTTTTCCTGGCTTGGGTTTTCATCTAGAAACCCCAGACGCTGATTGGTGCTTGCTAGCTCTTCTGTTTCCGCATGATGGAAAAGCAATCATCTTAGGCTGGGGGAAAAGGTTCCTCACCTGCTCGGTTGCACTGGCTGTGTAAGAAGGACATTGTCTAGCTGCGTTCCCAAGAGAGTCGAGGCAGCCTTTGTTAACACACGGCCCCGATCCAGAGCCTCATGTTGCAGAGTGGAGAACCCAGATCCTCACCCCCCTCTGGAGGAAGGATTTTCAGATAATTTTCTTCAGTTTAAATGTCTCCGATGCATCTCAGTGGAGGAGGGTATTTGCTTGCCTCGAGTTTCACATTTTTATGGAATAGTGCCTTTTCCGGATTACTGACTTTTCTGGAGATGGGGATAGCACAAATTTCTTAGGCCTGTATAGATTACTGCCTGGCTGTATTGTGGATGTGTTAAATTCATTATTCACTTTCTAAAATGGGTCTAGGTGCTATCACGCTTCCCAATTCCCTCAAAAACCCCTAACACCCTGGAAGATGTTTTCCAGAGACCCAGCATATAAAGGCAGATTAATGCAGAGAGATTACTCTGTACATAGTTGGAAGTTAAATCTTCTCATTCCTGCGAACTGAGCCCTGGCACTAAAAAGGCTTCCAAAATAAAGCTTGGCTGAGCCACAGCTTGGTTTTGTTCATGGCTGAAGTGGCTCAGGTTTTTGTGAGGTCTGGTTTGGTTTGGTGTTTTAAACTAACATGCAACTAAATGTAAACATTCTCGGATGTTTTAAGAAGTGGGAGAAGCTCCGGATAGGTAGGTCTTCACCCAAACAATGGACCAATTAAGCCCTAACACCATGTGGTATAGGTTAATTCTAAATGACAATGTTGAGGCTGTATTTGGTTTAAAAGCCAGACTTGGGTTCCTTCTCATGGAAATCAATTCTTGATCCATGTATGTGTAGAAAAGAACCAGTAGCACTCTTCACACTTTTAGAGGCGTTGGGGTGAATCTCACATGCAACCTCTAGCCTCCATTTTGCGGCCCCCTTGTAGCACCCTTAAATTATGCCAATGAGGTTTGGCTACAAAATAGTGTAGCCAACTTTCAGCAGTGAGATTTTCCAGCATCCCTGTTAACCGTTAGCCTTCCTGATAAAACTGGTGATATCACCAATAGGCCCCCTGCAGCTGTCAGAGGCCAAAGTAATAGTAATAATTTTGAAAAGGAAGAGGTTTAAAACGATTACCAGTCCTTACGCTAAACTATGAGTGGCTTAACTGAACTTTGGTTCACACAATGTATCTCCCTACTGGCTTTGTGTGGTGTGTGAAGCCAATCATTTTTCCTTCATTAGTGATTCTGCTCCAACAACACAGTTTCTCCTTGTCTGCTGTGACGAAAGACCAGAACCAGAAACTTCCCTGTTTGGGACAGCCTCATCCTGACATTTTCTCAAATCAACCTGTTCTTTTCTCCATAGATGTATTCTGGTATTCCCTCCTAGGCCTCTCTGAGAGAATTTCCAGGCTGTAGGAAATGAAATCTTGAGCTCCTAAGGGAGATATCTAGACTACGTGCTTTAATTGTTTTAACAGTCATTTTCTCTTTCTAGGAAGCTCTTCCCCACAACCTTTCGTTCCAGGATTTGGGGGCGGGGGGTGGGGAAGCGAGGCTTTTTTGATCCCTTGCTGAATTGCTCTGGCTAGTTAGGAAGGGACCTGCTCCTGCCTAGCATAAATCTATTTGTGTGTAATGTGACCCCATTGCTTCTTGTCCCATCCTCAGTGGATCAGTTGCTCCACTGTTGAAAACCGCACAGTTTGCTTTGTTTTCCTTATGTGTAGTTGACCTTTCAGTAAACTGCAAAGGGTGAGCTTGATAACAAAGCAGTTCCCCCTGTTACATGCTCTGTTCTCTTGACTTGACTTAATGCTGGTAGCATTATAACTCAGGGCTTATTCGTCCCACCCCCCAAGCAATTGCTTATGTGGGTGATGAGTTGACAGTGAGATATCAAAAGAGGTGCAGAAGGATTATGACAGTGAGCATAGTCTGTTCAAGAAGATTCATTTCTTTTTATTTTCTGTTTGCATAGAAGTAGTCCCTAAGGTAATTTCTGGAGAGCTCCCCACATGTTGTTCCTGTCTCACAGCTAGGCTTGCTCTTGTATGCTGTTGTTTTTATTTGTACACTGAGTCTGAAAAACCAATAACTTCGCTGATTTTAAGCGAAAATGCCCTGTGCTGGTTTGGATGAATTCTCAGTTTAGGTTGGATAGGGTTACCAGATATGGGCCAGAAAAATCCAGATGTCCACTAGGTAGCAGCAAAGTATTGTTTCGTTTGCCTCTCTTTGCTGCCATCTAGAAGTCCTCTAATGTGGAGCAACCAAAATTTAGTAGCTCTGATTTAGTGGTGGTGGAGGAATACAATCTCAGGGCACAATCAAATAGAAAAGGACTCTCACTCAGCCCTGATTTCCTTCCCTGCTTAGAGAGGAAGAAAAGGGGGGATATTCTTCCAAATTAATGTGTGGACTTTCTGAAACTTCCTTATGGGGCTGCTGATTATGTATGATAGTAACAGCATTATACAGAACATATTAGATTTGTGCTATTACAAATGTCTGTGGGGAGGGGGAGAAGGAAGGAGAGGCATCCTCAGTGATGGTCACTGGCTTCAAAATGGTGGGCATGACTGGGAAGGGACGACGTTCCCTTTCTAACATGAGTCACGTGCACTGCACACACATTAAAAGGTGGGGGTTTTACTCACCCAGTTGCACTCTCCATTTTGAAGCCAATGACTGCCACTGCAGAAATGCATTAGTAAAATGCAGTTACTAATGCATTTTGGAGATCCCATGCATCTTCTTTATGTTCCATACTCCGTCGTGATTGTGTGATGTTACCTTAATCATCTCATCATTACTTCCCACACCATTGTCCAAAGCCAGGTGTGTACACAGGCAAGGCATTGGCAAGAAAAGTACAAAAGAACATAATTTGGAGGTTCTCAAGTGCTTCAGACCTTTCTGTGTTGTGGACAGCAGAGGCTCCTTGCCAGCCACCATGCCAATGATAGTGTACACATTAGGCCTTCCGGCTTCTATCCATATGTTTTGTTTTAGAAGTGAGGGTTGCTATGCTAGTCTTTCTTTGAATGTCAGGAAAAAGTATGCAAGTAATTTTTTGTTCAGTGGGAATAATAAGGAAGCCTATTCCCATTTTACAGTGTTCTTAGTGCAGACGTATCAGGGATATATGGTGCACTTATATGACTTATTTTAAGTTTATTAAAATCCAGACTTTAAAAATATGAGGTTTCTTGTGTTTAGATTTCCAGCATTAATAGGAATTAAGTATTAAGTATTAAGTATTAAGAAGTTTTATTCAAAAATGTTTGGGGGAAAAATTGCCTGCTTTCTGGGAAGCCTTTCCCATCTTTTAATTTGGGACATGCTTTTTACTGGATCATGTGTAATAGTGTCATTTTCTTTTCTTTTTATGAATGTAGATTTTCCCATCTCCTCAATCTATAGCAAAGATCCATGTTGCAGTTTCTCTTGCTTCCCTCATTAAAACACATCAGATACATGCAATTACAAGAGATGGGTTAAAGACAAGAAATAATCAAGATATAGCTGATTGGTCCCCATTGAGCAATGCCAGACAGAAGACTGTTGGATGAGGAGGTGTGGCCTTGAATTTCTTGGCAATCAAATTTCATTGGGAATAAGCATTTTTTTATTAATAACTGGAGCATATGTGCTTACAAAATAGCTGGCTTTGCAGTCCAGTGTTTATGTACATAGAACCACAAGGGTGGGCTGTATGTGCCCAAAAGTCTCCTTTTTGTAATCCTCAACCTCCTTTCAGCCTCAGTTGCTGAATGTTGGCTTGGTTTTCTATCCTTTTGAGACAGGAAACAGATGAAAACTAGTGTTAAGTATCAAAGTAGACAACTTAGATGAATAAGAAAAAAGAAGCCATCTAAAATCAGGAAAAATGAGGAAATTCCAGCTACTCTTGTGTGTGGCAGAGTTTCATCCACATTTTTTTCAATGGTTTATATTCTGCTCATAGGCTCAACAAGGCAGCTAATAATTAAAAAAAAAAGTTAAAAGCATAATATTCACTTCACCCACTGGAATCTTCAGCCCCCTGAAAAAATTAGGCCTTTGTCACTAAAACACTGACCATCCCCAGCACAGAAAATAAGGATCTGCTAAACACTTATTGGTTCATTTTTGAAATAACATTTTGAAGTGATTCTTTTTCATATATATTTTTTTATTTTTTGGTAGGTGTGATGTTTTCTCCAAAAGATTCTTCAGCTGAAAATGTTTTGTTTTTGTTTTTTTTAGTGTTTCCAGGTCACCAAGGAATTACATTGTAGTTGGTGAACAAAGCAGGAAAGTACATTTCCCCCCATTGACAAAAGAGGTTTCCACTGTGGAGTGGGGGAATATGAAAGATTTCACGAAAAAGAGTCTCTTCTTTCAAGTCATCTTTGATGCGATATAAGACAAAAATATTATTATCCACCCCTCAGCTGTTCCAAGCACAATCTTATTAAACAGCTGGTTAAATTTAAAACCAAACCAGTACCAGCACACTATCTTGGACAACCTGTTTTTGTTTTGTTTTCTTTGCTTTTATTCAAATCTTAATTGTTTTTTTCAAACCTAGCCAGGGTCACTGCTAGTGCTAAACACTCTTTGTCCAAACCACTACCATCAGTCGCAGTCCTGAATCTGGAACCTTAGCTTTACTCTGACTTTTTCTTTGTCTCCTTGCTTTGCAGGTCGGATGGGGAAAATTCAAGAACTGTCAGGTCAGTTGCATTTTTTAAAGAAAACAGTATTTTGTTATCTTTACCCCTTTCTTATAAGTTCTTGAAATTAGCTTCTCTTTCCCCACTCTTCCTCTCTCCCACTCCCCTGTTGCCCACATTCTTCTCAGAGCCTATGTGATATTGCTATTCTTCCCTGGGTAAATTCTGAGTTTAGGATTTTTTTGCTGTGGGTTATATTGAACACACAGTGTGATAATCAGTGGAAAAGATAGGAAGATATGTGACATTGCCCTTGAGAGATGGGAAAGGGAAGTCTAGTCGGGATGGGGTGCAGTAGGAGATGGAAAAAATATATATTTTTGTTGAATTAAATTCCTATAGTCTCAGAATGTAGATATTTCACCTACTGGATAAAGTTGTTCATCATCATTGATAATTACTGTATATACATTTTTTTTTTTGTGCCTTCAAGTCAGTGTTGACTTCTGGCGACTGCCTGGACAAGCCCTGCAGTTATTTATTAGTTGGTAATAAATATTCATCAAGTACTTACTGCATGCTATACATTGAAAACATAATTAATTATGGTCTTCACCAATAGGCTTAGATTTTGAAAGAAACATTATGGTTGCCTTCACATGATATGTGCACTGATGGTTAACTTAACCATGTTTTTCTCAGTGATCCTAATTTTCTGGGTTGCACGCAACATTGAACCATAAACTAATCCCATGTGGGGTGTTTGCCCAACACATTAAAATGTGGTTGGCTAGTTTATGGCTCAGGGTGTTCTGCAAACATAGCCATGCATGGAAAAGGAAGGAGGAATGGAATAGTGAAAATAAGAGACAAGGAGGACTGAGCCAGGATAAATGGATATTTCTGCTAATATGCCAGCTGACTGCAACACTGTGAGTCACCATGGTAAACAGTAACTATATATTACAGCTTACCAGATGCTTGACATTGACCTGTTTCTGCAGGGTCAAGCAAGCAACTGACACAGAAAATTTGATGAGAACATGGTAGATGTCATGATTTCGTGATCCCTAAATGTGACTTCTCCATGTTGCAGGCCTGGTTAATACTTGAATGGGAGCCTACTATGAATACTACTATGTAGGTTAGGTTGTGAAGTGAAAAACACATCCAGAAGAAGGCAATGTAGGCCACTTCCCTACTGTTGTCAAAAACACTGTATGGATATGTCCATATCAGACACTAGGAATCAAGCACAATTCCAAGGAGCCTTTATACTCCCCTGCCACAAACACATAAGGCTTCCTTATATTTTCTACAGCAGTCATTCAGCTGTCCATCAGAATAAGGTTTTGAACCCAACCCAGGCACATATAAATTGGACTTGGAACCTTAAATTGGTGGGCAGCAAAGATGCTGTAGCAGAGTTGGACCAGATGGACCAACCTGAGGTTCGTTCTTCTCTGCCAGCACCCGGTAGCTCTGCAGCCAGGGAGGAGACAACCATAATGGAAAGGAGCCCAGGCATCCAGTCAACTCTGTAGTGAGGTGGAAGGCCAGTGATGGCAGCTGATCTTCTTCTTTTCCATTGCTAACTACTTACCTGCTTGCTGATGCAGACCGACTTCATGTTAGTGATTGGTTTCATGAATTCGGGTTAGTAATAGGCCTCCTGGGTAGTGTGTTTGCCTTGGCTGAAGCCTCACTATGCCAACCAAGAATGCCAGGCTTGAAAGATTGTGCAGGGTTGGAGTACAATCAGGAGCATTTTTGAGAAGAGGACTGATGTGGTAGGAGTGTCATAGGGAGAGTATTAATTTTCTGTGTAGTACAATCCAGCCCAAAATGATGTGAAGAGTGGAACAAATAAAAGCACTGAGAAGGCAATAGAGGTGGAAAGGAATTGTCTATTCTAGCCCCTCCTGCTACCCAGCTAGCAGGGTCTGCTTTCCCATTACATAAAATGAGGTGTCAGTCTTGAGTTTCATGACAAGGCAACACATTATTTGTTCTTTAGTGGGGCATTTCTACAGCCATGAACAGAAAGGCAGTAGGGATATTTTCAATCCTGGAGGCCAAGATTATGCAACTGAGAATGCCTATACATCTGGATGAGTTGGTTGGGAGAAAGTTGCAGCTGTCAGAGAGCCAAGGAAAGGAGTAAAAGAGTAGAGTGACATAGCTGATTCCCATTTAGAAGTGACCATTTTTCTGTTACATTTCTAGCCTGTTCTTTCTCCATGGAAGGTAGAAATTCCCACACATTTAGGCCTCACAATAGTTGCATACAATAGATTAGACTGACAGGTAGACACTGGCCCAAGGCCACCCAGTGAAATTATAATATGTGGCTGAATTTGGAGCTGAATCAAGGATTCGGGTCTATGTCGTCCAGTTCTCATTTAACTTGTGTAGCTTTTAACAGCATGGTATCTTCTCCTCCAGATGTGGTGACCTTCAAGGCCCATTATCCCCAGTCACTACAGACATTGGCAGGACTCTCTGGAAATGATGGATGTTCCAGTCTAATACAGTTCGAATAGAAGGCTGCTACTTCATATTTGCTAACTGTATTTGCTTGGTTTTAGTCACTGAGACGACCATAATTAATTGAAAAATGCACCAATTAAGTTTCATTATGTTTGGGATCGCTTATTTGCTTAAATCTATACTAGAATGTGACACTATCACACAAAGAGCAGGATTGTTGGCTGTGACTAACAAGTACCGTAACCCAAGATAATGAGGGAGGGTAAAAAGGAAGCAAAATATGAAGAATCAGTACGCTGTGGCATTCCACAATGTATTTTTATCTTGTTCCCATTGTTTGCACTTTAAACAATGCAGAATTCTTTTGTACCGTAAAGGATTTTGGTAACATTATCCCTGTGGCTTTCAGGTTATGTCTATATTTTCCCAGCTGCGGTTTCATTTCATAAGAGCTACTTTGTCGACTAGCACTGACAAAAGAGAATATTCCCTCAGGGTGGTGTGTGTGTGTGTGTGTGTGTGCGCGTGCGTGTGTTACAGGTGGAGCTTTGCGTGGCAGTGATAATTTCAGTTGCCAGATGGTGAGTCCCTCATATTAAAGAGGAGAGGCCTTCTGAATTAGGCTTCATGGTTCTTCACTTTGCTGTTGACTTAGTCACATAGATGGCCATAATTCTGTGATTCAACACTCATATTTGGGAATTGGGGACCCTTTTTTGAACCCTCTGAAATCTCCAAGCACCTTGATTAATAAGGATTCAAAAGGTTTGAACAACCAATTATAGTAAGGAATAGGAGGCAGGAGGCTAGAGCAGACTTCTTGGCTAACACCTTTCCCAAACTGCTGTTCCCAGGACGCAGTGAGAAATAAAAGTGGCATGAAACTGATACAAATTGGCTCTGTTCAGACAACAAACCTAATGAGATCAGATACAAACCTAATGGAGCCATTCACACAGTATGCGTTCCTTAATTCACGTTAAGTCTGGCTAATATTTTATAGCTTAGAGTCTTTTGTGAATCCAGCCCTGTGGGTTAGTTGCATTGTATGCATTGTACCAGAAAATGGGTGAATTCAGCCACCAGGTTAAGGGTATTGTGTGAATGCAGCTCTTTTGTGGTTCAGTCAAGGTTTCTCGGAAGAGTTGAGCAGCTGTGTTTAAGAAAATGTAGCAGTGGTCCTGCTCCTGCTGATCTGGAGGTACATTTTTGCTAGCTCATCTGGACTGACAGCATCTTCTCTTGTTCCAGATGGAGGCTTTTCCCTGTGACAGGTGTGCTGATTTCATGCATTACACCTGTAATCCATATGCAGACCCTCTGTGCTGATCGCAACTTGCCTAAACGGACTTGGAGAGTTTTTGCTGATGGCATAAAAATTGTGGCACCCAGCTCTTTTCTCTTTCACACTGGCTGAAAGCCATTCAGTGACATCCTTTCTTCTAGGGCCTTACCTAAGGCATTTCAGTCTCTGAGCTAAAGAAACCCAAAGGGTATCTGCTGTCGACATTACTTATTAATATCCAGCACAACTGATGGAAAAGTTCTGCACAAGCATCATTTGCTGGCATCCACACGGGTTAACAGAAAAATAACAACTCATGCATCATAAGGTCATGGCACAAATGAAGCAAGTTGTGTTAGACATCATTATGCAAATACGCACGCAACATTTGTGCAGTGATCTTAAGCATGTGTTGTTTTGATGTCACTGTGGCTTGTTACAGATGCAGCTGGCCCCAGCTGTATTTCCTTTGAATAAGGTAGACTTCCCCAACCTGAGTTCACATCAGCCCCAATTGATCTGATCAATGATCAGGGATAATAGAATAAACATCTGGAAGGTCCCAAGTGAGGGAATGTTGCAACTGGGCAGGTGCACAAGAAATGTATTTATGTACTACTGATCTTTCTATACCACTAAATTCCAGAGGGCTCCGAGCAGTATAGAATTCTCAGCAGATTGTGGATTAATTGTTCATTTTTCATCTTAAAACATATCTGTTTTAGGGCAACTGCTCTGGTGATCAGGAGTGGGACTGAGAGAGATTTCATGGTACTGTAACATTGTGTGGAATCAGCCAGTTATCACTGTGCTAGGTTTGCAGAATCTGTATTATTTTTTCTTTTCCAGACATAGTTTTTGAAAAGGAAAGCTCTTTTGGATTTTTTTTAACAGTGGTGGCTCTTCTAGTGTGTGTGTGTGTGTGTGTGTGTATAGTGCTAAAATATAATATCTATATTCACCCAAAACCATAGATTTGTAGAATTTTAACTTAGAGGGTGTCTTGAAGATCATTGAATCAAACTATGCTGTGTTTTAAATACCTCCAATGAAAGAAAATCTGCCACTTTTAGGAAGTTTCTTCTAACTCCTTTTGTAACACAGCATCCTTCAGAAGCTCCCAGAATTTTTAGCTAGAATGTCTAGCACTGAAATGTTAAGACTTTCCGTCTCCACCTGTTTGGAGAGCACCAGGTTGGGGAAGTCTGCTTTGCTGTGGTATCGATCTCTTGATTCGAGCCATGTCTTTTGGAGAACATAGAACAAATCTGCTCCCTCTTCTGCA